TGAGATCAGGTGTATGCTACCACTGCCTGGCCTCTATAGTTAACCAGTGGCTAGCTCAGCCCTCTGATCTCCAGGCAAGCTTTATTTGTCAGAACACAAACAAAATACCATACAACACTAGTGTATGTGTCCTCACCAGTATGTGTTCCTTAATGGCAGAAATAATAGGACCTGGCTCCCTAAAATGTTACAATGGCAGATATTATTCCCTTCCTTACATACCCCCAGAGGGTAAAATTCACTCCTCGATTTTGAGCCAACTGCAATCCAGGTAGCACTGAGAACTAAATTTGTGTTTTAGAGCCCCTCTTCAGTCTCCCGAATGCTGGGGTTGCAGGTGTGTACACCCTCTGTCAGAAAAACTCATTTTAAAATTTTGTATGCATAGTTAGAAATAGAGTGATGAAATGAAATCTTTGTGTTCCGGTGTTTTTTCCTTTGTTATGAAAATGAGGAGAGAGGGGAAACTGGTGTGTGTTTAGTGCTTATATGTATGTATAGTAAAAATAGAATAATTTAGGTTTCTCACATAACCCCTTGAAATGGTATTGGGATGCTCTTCTTATAAATGAGAAAGCCTCACCTAGCTAGTAGTGTATAATTCTTTGGACTTCAAAGCCGCTTTTTTTTTTTCATATTATATAATGTTCCTGACTAGAATTTTCCTGATAGAGCAAATTTGAGGGAGATCATTGCCGCCTACACTAAAGTAATACATTAGAGAGTAAAGAAAATGCGTGATTGTGACATTTTTCTATGCCTGCCTATTTTGTTAGGACTTGAGGAACCTACAGTGATAGGTTCCCTTTTATACAAACTTACACATTTTTTTAATACTTACTTATTCTGTGCAGTTGTGTGTGTGTGTGTGTGTGTGTGTGTGTGTGTGTGTGTGTGTGTGTGTGTGTGTGAAGAGCTGGTTCTTTCCCACCACGCAGGGTCTGGTGCTGGAACTCAGGTCATCGTCAGGCTTGGTAGCGAGCACTTTTACCCACTGAGCCTCTCACTGGCCCCATGACCCTGTATTTCTAAGTTCTGTTAGCTAAGCTGTGTGTTAGAAAGGAAAGATTATTTCCACCAAATGAACCCAAGTTAAATTTGCAGACTGTTTTCACATCTTACCTTCTTTACTGTCTTACAGCAGCAGCAGGAGGAAATCGCTACTAAGAAGCTCCGGCTAACAAAACCAAGTAAATCTGCTGCTCTCCACATCGATCTGTGTAAAGCCACCTCCCCAGCAGATGCCTTGCAGTACCTACTCCAGTTTGCCAGGAAGCCTGTCGAGGCAGAAAGCGTGGAGGGGGTAGTTAGGATTCTCTTGGAACATTATTATAAGGTAAGAACCCGGGGGATTACTTGTAAGAGCTGTGCTGTGTCTGTCTGCGGAATGTGTTAATGTTGCAGAGAAGCGGGAAGGTATTAATTCATATTCTAGGCACCGTGGATACTGAGATTAAAGTGAGGTATATGTTGTCCTCAGGGGCTTGCAGGCTAGTAAGTGGAGACAGGCATGTAGATGACATGCTCAAAGGACTGTGAGTTCTGTGTGTAGAGGAGGGAGAGCACAAAGAGTGTCGGCCATGTCTCTTCTGCGGTCACCTCTGGAATGTAGTGTGCCCCTCATCCTGCTGTTCCCTGTTTAAGGCTTCATGCCTACTGTAATAGCCCTTTACTTTGTTTTTAAGGTAAAGTGGCATTTTTTCCTTTTTATAGAATGCCTTGCTGTGTAGCCCAGAGTGGCATCAGATCCCCTAGAACTGGCGTTATAAATGGTTGTGAGCTACCATCGGTAATCAAGCCCAGGTCTTCTACGAGAGGAGCAAGTGCTCTTAACCATCTAGCCATCTCTCTAGCTCCTATTTATATTCATTTTTGTAATGAGTTTGTCTTTATACTACCTCTGGCTGGTTTCAAAGCACTTTCTCTTTCTCTTCACTTATACCTTAAGATTAACTGTACAAAAATGATGTTCCAAAAGTAATGTGCATACTAAATGGCATAACAGGCGGGGTTTTAGGTCTTCTGACCATATCTGTTTTCCTTTCCCTTGCTTTAGGCCTGGTTGTGTCTGTTGCTTCCTTAGACACTAGATGAGCTGGTTGTGGTGCATGCCTGTAATCCCAGTGCTGAGAAGGTGGAGACAGGGAGATGGAGATTGCAGCCAGCCTGAGCTACACAGTGAGCTTCAGGACATCGTGGGCTGTAGAAGCAGACCTTGTCTCAGAAAACCAAAAACCAGGCTAGGGAGGTTGGCTCAGTGAGGTAAAGGTGCTTGCTATATAAACGTGAATTGAATTCCCAGAACCCACATAAAGAAGCTGGATGCTGTCAGGGCAGTGGTAGCGCACACCTTTAATCCCAGCACTCAGGAGGCAGAGGCAGGTGGATCTTTGAGTTTGAGACCATCCTAGTCTACAGAGTGAGTTCCAGGACAGCTGGGGCTGCACAGAAAAACCCTGTCTAAAAAACCAAAGCAAACTAACCAGCCAATCAACCAACCACACAGACAAACAGGAAGCTGGATGCTGCAGCACACCTGTAATCCCAGCACTCCTATGGAGAAATGGGAGGCAAAAGCAGAGGAACCACCTAGCAGTTTGTGGGCCAGCTAGCTTGCGGTATGTAGTACAACAGAAAGGCTCAACAATCCAGGCTCAACAAGGTGGAAGCAGTGAACCAGCTCTCGGAAGTTGTCTTCTGACCGCCACCCATGTGCTGTGGTACACGTGTACCTGCATACGTGTGTGCACACATAAATAAATAGATGGGAAGTAAAAAACAAAACCACAACCAAAAATACGTAGGTGAGGTGTGGGCTGGTTATGATCACATTTGGATGGCAGTTTGATTTTTCCAACCCAAATTTAAATACTTTTGTCATTGGTATAGAAAGATTGCTTAATGTCAGCACTGATAAGGCACCCCTCCTCCAATATATATTCATTTATCATCTTTTCAGCGTTGGATATTGTGCCACATACTTAACTATACAGTATGGTGAAGAAAGGGACATGTTCTTTTGTCTTGCAGAGAAATTTCTTAGCACAGCAATCTTAGAGGTTCATCTCCTAATTTTCAAGCTAAAATGACCAGACATCTTATTTTTTTTCTCCCTTGCAGATCTATCTTCAGTCGGTTGTACTTTTCTATCCCAGCTTTCTAATCTGGATCTGGTGATCCACAAAAGTTGGTGATGTAGAGTTTTTTCTAGTGATAACAGTGGCACCTGTCACTCCCACTCTCCAGCAGTGATGCTGGGTCCAGTGCTAGCCTTGTTGGTGGGGAAAATGTCTGTGACATCCAACACTGACTGAATAGTGGAGATAAGGTACTTTTAATGTCAAATGCACATTTTTTAGTTTAGAAGTTAACGACATCATGGAAATGTAAAAATTTCCGTTCGTAGTATTGAGGGTTACATTGGTAGAGTGAAACTCACTTGAGGTGTATGAGTTAATTTTTCAGAATGAAGCCCTAGAATAGTTGGGTCTTTGAATATCCTTTGGGATGTCAGTTTCATGTATACTGTGTGTTTGATAGCTAAGAGTAGATTATCAAATGACTGTAGGCCAATTTCTAAGCGGTCTTATTAAATAAAAAAATACGGAGCCAAATATAGGGGTGAAAGCCTTAGAGATCAGGGAAATAGGAATAGCCACCAGCTAACCTTACCTCATCATGCCACAGCTTCCAAGTGCCACGACTTCCTGTCTACCCAGGCTTTTATTGCCTTGCTGTTCTGCCCTCTCATTGGCTCTTAGCCCAGCTGCCTCACTTCCTTGTCACTGCCTGTCTGTACAGACCTCCAGGTCTCTGTGATTGGTACTGGGATTAAAGGCGTGTGTCACCACCTTGACTCTGTTCCCTAATGTGGCCTTGAACACACAGGGACCCTGCCTGCCAAGTGATTGGATTAAGGGTGTGTGCTGCCACTGCCTGATTTTTATGTTTACTTAAAATGGCTTGCTCTTTCCTCTCATATCCAGGCAAACTTTATTTATTAACATATAAATAAAATATCACCACAAATGACAGTTGCCTTTTTTTTCCCTCTAGGAAAATGATCCATCTGTGAGACTGAAAATTGCATCATTGTTGGGATTATTATCAAAGACTGCAGGATTCTCTCCAGACTGCATAATAGATGATGCCATTAACATACTACAGAATGAAAGTAAGTTGCAACTTAAAAGCTGTATAGTCAGAGAAGAAATTTTTAGTTCTTATGTAGAGAATTTACAACAAAGGTTTGTGTTGGTTGTTATTAAAAGGAACATTTTATTTACCTTTTTTTTAAAGATAGGGTCTCGACTGGGTGGTGTGGTGCACACCTTTAATCCAAGCACTCAGGAGGCAGAGGTAGGCAGATCTCTGTGAGTTTGAGGCTAACCTTGTCTACAGTTCCAGAACAACCAGGGTGGTTACAAAGAGAAACCCTGTCTGGAAAAGCCACAAAAAAAAAAATAAATAAATAAAATAAAATAAAATAAAATAAAAAAAATTGGGTCTAACTCTAGCCCAGGCTATCCTGCAACTCACTAGGTACCCAAGATGACCTGAAGCTTGAAATAGTCCTCAGTCTGAGTCCCCTGGCATAAGCCACACTCCTTGTTCTTCAAAGGAATTTGAAGATGGTTCAATAGAGATATGTACATGTATTTGTATTAGGGCTACAGTACCATTTTATGGGAGGGTTGTAGCTCAGTTGTGGAGTGCTTACTTAGCATTCATGAAGCTGTGGCTTCGACTCCACCACTGCATAGGCTGTGCAGGTTATAGCTCAGTTGTGAAGTGCATGTCTGGAATGTATGAAGTCCTAGCTATGACCCCCTGTGATCACATAAACTGCACGTGGTGGCTCACCATGTAATCCTAGCACTTGGAGGTAGAGGCGGGAGACTCAAAAGTTTAGGGTCATCCTTGCCTGCATAGGGAGTTCAAGGTCAGACTGGGCTAGAGACTGTCTCAAAAAAAAGTGTTTCTATTTTCTGTCTATAGCTTTATCTTAATAACTTTCATTTGTGACTTCTAAAAAGTGCTGTATATTTATAGCAACTTATTTAACATAGAAGATAGATATTACTATCTCTTTAAAAAATAATTCCAAGTTTTTTGTTTTGTTTTGTTTTTTTGTTTGTTTGCTTGTTTTTGTTCTTTTGTTGTTTTGGTGTTTTTGAGACATGGTCTTACTATGTAGCTCTGGCTGGCCTTGAACTTGAGACCATATGGGCCTCACACAGCGACCTGCCTGCTTCCTTCTCCAAGTGCTAGGGATTAAAGGTGTACATTACCAAGCCTGGTTCTAAATACAGACAGACAGACAGAGAGA